AGAACGACGCCGGATTAGTTTCTGAGAAAAAACTTGAAATCTGTTACTTTTATAAAGTGTATCATAATAACAAGAGACAGATGTTTGGATTTTAATCAATGATTAGTGATTACAGAGTGAATAATATTGCATTGAGCATGTTTAACCGTAAGAGAAAGATCTCGAGAAAAATGTTGTGAAGCTAGGTTGGTTTTTAGCTTAGAATTTCAAGTAATGGAAACACAGCTTGGGTTCCAGTTGCCCCGGTAAAAATACGTACAGAGACAACTGGAACGTATGTTCCACCTGAAATTAACATTGTATTGTACATATTCTCTTTTGTTCTAAGTAGAGCAAATATGCAAGATACACCAAGTTGGCCCAAAAAAAACCAATTGAAGATGTCCAAAACGCTACAACAATATACGGTGCTGTCGTTTTCTATGACATTCCAAGATCCACAATAAGACTCTTTGTATTTGGAATAAGAGGGAAAGGTATATAAGGATAAGGTGGTGGAGGAATATATGAAGGAAGTAGAAGAAGAACTGTCAACTGTGCTGAACACCATACAGAAATAGAGACATGGATTACTTACAAAAAAAATAGGTTTCTTATTTTATTTTTGGTTCATTTTACCATTTTTATTAAACATTATTAGCTCTGTTCCAACCGACATGAGAACCGTTCTAGAACGGTAATTTCCAGTCTACAAATGAATTGATCATTTGTCAAGTAGGATGAATGTTCAACATATTGAAAAATAGGTGGGCAACTGGAAATTACTGGTTCTGGAACGGTTCTCATGTCGGTTGGAACAGAGTTATTATCTCACCACTAAGTATAATTATTTTGTTGCATCTTCCATATTTCCCATAATTCTCGAACAAAAATAATGAAATGTGGTAGAATCTCTACATACAGGGTGGAAAATTAAAAAGGATCCACCTGGATTTTCTCGAAAATTATCAGGAAATTAAAAAAACGCCGAAATACGTCGATTTTGTTTGCAAGGGGGACACTTTTTAGCTATTTCAAAATTTTCCTAGATTGCACCCCCTTACCGGGGTGAGTTGCACCCTCAAAAGTTGAATAGGGAAACTGGGTCGAGTAGTACCTTGTTTGAGAGGTATTTGAGATGACTTTACTGCAACTCACTGTATTCCATTCCAACGCCCTTAATTTGTACTTCAGAGGGAGTGGGGCGGCGAAAATTGTCTGGACACACAGGCGGCCAACACCCTAGCGGCGGCCCTGTACGCGGGTCGTCGCGTCAGGGTAAACGCAAATTTCACTCGTATCATGACTACCCGACCAGACAAAGAGACCTGATAAGAATAGATTTCAATAGGCTAAATAGAACCAGAATATCAGCTAATTACTATGCACCTAAATTTTACAACAAAATACCTACATATTGTTCATCGATTTTTAACTGACGCTTTCCGTATGAGGAGCGAGAGGGTGAAGTATATGGCAAAAACAAGTGTGATGTCAGGTGACCATTGGCGTTCTAACGTAGGGAACCACCAGCTCAAATTTTTTTGGAGTATCAGATTAAAATCGACATACTTTAGGTAGATAGTCATGTACGAGAGATGCCTCTAAATTTTTTTAGTTAAAATAAAACAACTATATGGTTATTAAGAATATGCCCTTTATAGTTTACAAGAGTTCCTTGATGGTGATAATAATTTTTGAAATGTATAGTATTGTTACTCTAAAAGTTTTTGTGTATGCATGTACCTAATCATTTTAAAATGAAGTATTGTCTAACAATGATTGCTAAAGAGGGTGTGACCCAAGAATGAAAGTTTTAGTGCAGAAATGTCTAAGAATAAATATTCAAACCGCATCTTGCTACGATGGATCGTGTTCGAGTTAGAGCGGTTTAAAGTTACAACTAGGTGTTTGTGACGTCACCCCGAATTATCAGGCACAGTATTAATAGGTGTAAGAATTTTCCAAAACAAAAGACAATCATCTCTAGAATTGCAAACACTTAAGTATAGGGTACGGTTCACTGACGACTAAACGAACAGGAGGCTGCAATTTCGGCGGTTGTGACGTAACAGGTACCTGCATAATTTATCTTCACAAGGAAATTTCTCGGAGACTATTTTGAATATAGTACTGCTGTTTTTTTTATCTTGATTTAAGTAGCTCAAGTCGTTTTTGAAGGTCACACCCCCTTTAATTTCATGATTTTGAACTGTAATAGTGTACTGTTTTTATACCTTTTTACGTTTGTATGACCTGATTGTTTTAGTGTATAATATTCCGTCAATTTGTGTAGCTACTGTAGTTTTTACACCTCTCATCGCTAGAAACAAGTAGTTTAATTTCTCTGACGTATGTAAACATTTTATAATTCTACTAGCATGATGAATAAACTTTGAACTTTGAACTACTGCTTCTTTAAATATCTCAACTTCTCCATTTACCTCCATATGTCTTGGAGAATCTAATATATATTCCGGTCTAGTTTCTTGTAATAGTTCCTTGTGTTCTATCCATTGCTCTGGTTTGATTATCTGGATATTAGCTCAGTCCTTTCCTGAGTTTTCGACATTCGATATAAATCTCCATATCTCTGAGGATTTCCTTCCTTCTATGTAGATTGAATTCACATTTCTTATTCCATGACTCGTTCTTAGCTATAGTCATGCACGTTCTTAGTTGTCTTTTTGTGTCTTTATAAACTTCAAGGTCTTGTTCATTCTTTGTTGTTAACCATTTCAGATATTTTCGCTTCTTGTAAACTTCTCTTGGACTCTGGTGCTGTATCTTCTCGTTCCACCAGTATTTCTTGTTGGGATTTTTTCTTTATTACTATTGCTTCTTGGGTCAGACTCCTTATAATAGGTTCTCATAGAGTTTATTGAAGGTACATTCTTCAGCGTTCAATAGTTTGCTGTCGATTCGCCTCTGATATAGAAATATAGGTAGTGCTTTCATGTCTAAAACTGCCAAAACTCTATTTTGTTGTATCCACTGCGTCCGTGAGTGGTGTTTTGTTCCTCTGGGTTGTTGTTCGTTTTCCAAAATTGCATCTTTATTTTGGATCTGACTCGCAAGTGATTCTTTTTAAGACTCTTACGTCGTTTATCTCTATCTTTGTTTCTTGTTTATTTATCACATAGTCAATAGGTAATAGTTAACTTTGCCTTGAGTAAATAAGTATCATTATTTGCTAGCCATCAATTTCCTTTGGGTTTATTTTTTTAATAAACTCATAATTTTAGGAATATTTGCGCAAAATTACATTAACCATTTGAATCAGCAGTTAAGATCACCCAACAAACATTTTAATAATGTCATTATAATCCAATAAAAACTTTCACATGACATAAAATAATATCGGTTACCTAATATGTATTAATAAAGCAATTACGCTAATCTCTTATTACCCTATAATATCATACATTTTTAATAATCAAAACATGTTTTTGTTTCCGGATGCGTTAACTATACATACACACTACTAGTACCACCTACATTTATTCAAGGATTTTCCAATATCACGATTTTTTAAAATTTAGTACAAAAATTCAAAAACATTTTGTTTATGATTCACATATTAACTTTTCTAAAACACTGATTTGTTTATTGATTGTTGATTTATGAACCACATTCTTAATAGTTTTCTAACAGAAATTAATTTAGTATAACAAATGTATTTTTAATGAAGGCTTTCTACTTCTGCACAGTCAACTTCATGAGTTGGATTAGTAGCTGTAGTATAGTAGTAGATTTTCGATTTTTGTCTTTCTATTTACACTCCATATACATTACTCCATGGAAATCAATGAAGAATCTTTATTAATATGAGAAATTTGGATAGTGGATAACATATCAATTATTAATAATAATTGTAGATATAGATATATGGAACAACAGGGGCTGGTCTAGATCAATTTATTGCCTTCCAGTCCTTTTTTGCTTTTATATCTTTTTTTTTATAATTGCAAATAAACTTATTATTATTATTATTATTATTATTTTAATACACATTTAAAGTGGATACATGAGGTCCATGAGAACGCAACCAAAGTTTTCGCATAAAAATCTTGAAAATTTCGAATTTCATCAACTCAAAAACAATAATTTGAGAAGTTGTGGTTCACTACTCAAGAAAATAAAAAATCAATCAATATTATTTTGAAACCAGAATCAATTACGACGAGACAACTTTCTTCAATGGGATTTCCCAACGATGTCAATTAAATAACTGATCTAAAACATTGGAAAATCCCATTCGCACGGATTTTTTTTTTCTATTACAATTGTGTTTGATTTAATAATAGTCAAAGGTCATTCTTTTCAATTCTTTTGAAGCTTTTGTTAAAACAATAAAAATTCAATTATTTTTAATAATGCCAGAGATTCATTATATCATCAATGTGTGGAAATTTATTTGCTCTCCATTTCCATAATCAGGTGAATCCTGTTAGAATTTTTAATTTTCTTTTACTTTCTTATTTTGGCATGTGTTTTTTTTAAATTTTTTTAATCAAGTAGGTAACTGTTGTGTATTATTTTCTCCCTCTTCATTACTTCTTAGACATTTGAAGACAGCTATCATTTCCCTGTGTGCTCTCTCATTTGAAAATATATTTAACTCCAATTAGTACCTACCTATGTGTTGTCTTAACAAATTAAAAACTAGACTGATGTACAAAGATAACTATAATGTTATTTTGTTTTTGGACAATAAAAGCTTTTTTATAGTAGAAGTAGAACTCGTAAAAATAAGGAGAAAAGTTCATTAGTTTGGAAGTTTATATGTGTTAATTCTCAGTGAAAGGCAAATGAGATATTTCTTAACTATGTAGTCGAATAATTATGATTTTTCGATGAAGCACTTAAAAAGCATCTCCTATAGGAACTTTTTGCCCCTCATCTTTTTGACTGCATTCTTCTAAGCTTAAAAAATGAGATCTTATGAAAATTGAGAAAAAAATATAAATACTTAGGTATATCAAAAATAAGTAAACTCAAGTTCAAGATGATATACTCACCTTCAATATCCTCGATATAAGGAGAATACCATTGGTTGTCCAATTTAAGTCCATGGACAAAAGTATCGACGCAAGTTCCACCGCCAACAAAACTCTGTCCGTCCCCGCAACATTTTTTAAAACACCTCTTGTTTTCGCAAATTTCCAAACCCTCCTGACATTCCCTTACTACAAACTCATTCCTGATGTCTTTATCCATACAATAACTGCCGCTATTTAGATGTTTTTTCCATTCGATTGCCTTTTGATGGTTTTTGAAATATTTATCTATAATTATTTGACAATGCGGTAGACCAACTTTTACAAATTGATTTTCAATATGATTTTGTGTAATGTTGCTTCCAACGCAAGAATGAGTTAAGTTGTTGTAAACGTAATTTAATGGACAACATTTTGGAAAAATTTCCTTAGATTCGATTAAAGTTTTTGTCACTAAAACCGAACTGTTAACTATGTAATTGTAAAAGTGCCTGTTGCTAGAATCAATATCAATGCACTCTCCGTCACTGTTGTTTTTCAAAAAATTATTCAAACTCGACCAAACTTGAAGACGCGTATTATTATTCTTCGAGATGCACTCAAGAGTCAAATTTGCACTTTGTTCAACTTCAAAATTTTCTTGACAACATTTCGCTATAACATCTTGATAAGACCGATGCACGAGACAAGAGATAAACAGGTAAACAACTAACATTGTGAAACGAAATAAATCAAGGTCTTTTTCAATTTTTCCACTTATTTATTACCGCATAATTAATGAAGCTCGTTATTGTTGGATGGTTTAACAACTCGGGTCGGCGGAAGACTGAATTATAATTTGAAATTTTTGGTCCGTGTGAGCCGGAGCGACTGGTTTGGGGCCGGCTTCTGGGTTGATTTAAGTCTGTTGGATTTTTCTGCTCAGGCAGGTATAGGGGGTGGAACAATAGCAAAAGTTAAGGGGTGCGACTCATTATTGATAATTAGTTTAGCGTCGAATATAAAAAACGTCTAAGCTGATTATGTAATTGGTTTTCGTTTTGCTGACACAGGAATAATTTTTTTAATGTTTTTGCAATACATTAAAAAAGGTGTGTTTTTGGGAAGGCCTATAAATAAAGGTCGGAAGTTCAAAACGTTGAAATTGTTTCAAATTGGCTTGTTCCTGAATTTATTTGAAGGATTAGTAAAGTATTTGTACGTTTTCTTGAAATAATGCTGCAATTTATTGGTTTTTTGACCTCAAATCTAAAGTCTAAAAAACGTCTTTTTTAGGTCTGCATTGCGTCTGAACGTCTGAAGTCCATAAGATCTCGTAATGTATTAAAAAGAGATTCTAAGACGTCTTTAAGACATCTTGTTGAAGACGTTTTTCGAATGTAGAAAAATGTCATAAAGACGTTTTTAGGCAGACATTTGAAAGCCGTTGGGTTTTGTAGTAATATACGACATCTTTAAGATGTCTTGAACCACAGCCTTTCAGAATTTCCAAAAGCATTCTGTAAAGCTTCAGAACGATTTGGAAACTTCAGAACCATTTTAAAATGCTCCAAAACATTCAAAAACCGATTTACAATTTCGAAAAGCATTTTAGAACAATTCAGAAGTTTGAAACCCATCATAGGACGCTCCAAAATACTGAAAAATTATAAAAATTTAAAAATTTGAATTAAAAGAGAAACATTTTCTTTTCTTGCCAAAATTGGTTCAAAAGAGTTCTAAAAGGTTTCCGGTTCTAAATTGAATCCTATAATTATTGTTCTGAAATAACTCTGGAGCTTATAAATTGTTCCAAAATGATCCTGAAAATTCTGATTTGGATTTGAACTTTGGATACTTATTAAAGACTTAAAGTTCTACAACAATTGAAATTCGCTCTTGAACGCCTTCTGAAAGGCGTTTTGTAACTTTTAACCTGAATCCTAAAATTCTAGCGCTTTTCAGAACGTTCCTGGAGATTTTAAAGTGTTTGAGTATCCTAAAACTTCTCAATTATTGTTCTAAAAATGCTTTCGAGCATTTTAAAATGGTTCTCAAGTTTCCAAATTTTTCTGAAGCGCTACAGAATACTTTTGGAAATCCTGAATTGAATTTGAAGTGTTTTAAAGTTCTAAAGTGTTCTGTAGCATTCTAAATGCTTTCCAGTTCCAGTATCTTCTAAATTTATAGAGAAACAAATTCTGTGGAAATTTTTTGTAGACGTCTTAAAGACGTCCTTAAGATGTCCACAAAGGAGGCTCAGCTTGTTTACGTCTTTAAGGCGTCTCAAAGAAATATTGAAGATGTCGCATGTTACAAAACCCAACGTCTATCAGTCGCCTGCCTAAAGACGTCTTTATAGAACTAAGACATTTTAAAGACTTCTTCAACGAGTAGTGAGTAGTCTTTGAATCTCCTTTTCAATACCTAAACCATTATTCACTTTCAAGCCTAATTGTACCGAATAGGTGTCTTCAAGATGTGACTTTACGTAACGCAGACCTGAAAAAGACGACTGTAAGACTTTGTGCATCTGGGAATTTTTGAACGATGAGTAACTTTATGTGTTTAGTTACACCTCTGAAGAATGAAGAATTCTAGAAATAATAATTTTTTGGATTTTTGACCTCAAATCAGTATAACAAACAGAAATCTGTAGGTAGATAATAAAATATGTTTCCCTTTCCTTCCTTCTTGACTCGTACATTTGAACAAATGCTTTTCGAATGGCGAAATTTCTATGCAAGTTTTTCCTTGCATGTGTGTTATATGAGTTGGTTCGCAGATAAATGAGACTACACTATTTCAAATTTAAATAAATTTTAATTAAAGCAATTCAAAAATCACACTGGATTACAACACTTTGAATCACAAAATCAAATCACTATAACTGATCAACTTATACTGTCCAATCAAAAGTATCTACGCTTCGCTCATATTTTCAATATTTCTGTAATTGTCTAGACAATTCTCTACTAAAAATGAAATCTCCGATAAACATCGATTCCGTAATTCGGTAGATTAAGGGTAATTTCCATATTCGAAAATTATATTCCACCCCTGAGTACTCCATGCGGCATTTTCAGATTGTTCACAAAAAATTTTAACAAGGTCGTTCCATTATGGAATATTCTCAGATTGTGCATATAATTCCCTCAATTAAGGTGAATTTGACAACATATTGCACTGTGATTTACAACATTATTAGTATCTACAGGGATTATTGGAAAGGTTTTAAGTAGTATATAGTAGGTAAAAAGGTGAATACACGTAAAGAACGTGTAGAGGTAGGAAGGACGCAGCGAATGACCAGATAATATCTGTGTAAAAATGGACTGAACAGTACAAGAAGCTGCTGACAAAGAAAAAAGAACAATTTAAGGGACAGATTAAGGAGATTGGGGAAGATGAAGTAGGGGAGGGTGGGCCAACATGAGACGTGTTTACCATGAGACAGTCGCCATTATTTTTCAATAACGTGGGCTATTTGTCTCCATTTCACAGTACATCAAGTATTAAACAGGTTAGTCTTATTTCTGTTGCCAGAGAAACTGTACGTGCGCCCCCGAATTTTTTACCGGTTTCGATTTGTTTTCGCCATAGTGAAATTTCTTTTGCTGTAAGTTCAGTCAGTACCTATAATTCATCAGTCGTTCCCAATATATTTTCATTTTGTTCTGAGGTTTTCAACACAACAGGTGGATATTAATTTCATTGTTTATGTATATTACGAGTCGATTTTTTCACGTTTCACCAAAATATTGCGGTTTGTAACTCAGACCTACCATGGGCTACAATGAGACACGAAGTTTGGGCCACCTTGAGACGTGTCTCAAATGCTGAGAAAAAATATTTTGTTCAAAACATGTCACGGACGCAAAAGAAAATCTCAAAAAGGCCTGTTTAGTGCCGAATTAATAAAAAGGGCTGTCGAAGATGTGATTAAATATAAATTAAGATTCTAAGGAATGCGGCAGAAAAAAACAACGTGAAACATCAAAAATTTGCAAAATATGTTAAAAAAACACAAAATAATGAAGAAAAGTTATATTACCGCCCTAGTTACGATGTATTATTTTTGAATAAACCTTATTTTTCTCCTTTTTTTCTCGGTTTTTATGTGTCTCAAAGTGGCCCACCTCATGGGCTACCTTGACACAAAATCAGATTTTTTTTAGATTCCTCTATAAAATAAAATAAATAATATTGTGTTAATAACCTATTCAAAAAATGTCTGCAATAAGATGAAAGATTATGAGGCTCACGAAACTGTAGCGAAAAAATTAAAATTACTAATTTTATCCCCAAAAAAGTAAAAACTGTCTCAACGTGGCCCATCCACCCCCAAATCATGCGGAATAAGCCATAACGGCGAAAGAAGGAACAAATATACAATACACGAAAAATGGGAAGGCTATATACAGCGATCTGTTATTAAGAGTGCACACTATACCTGCAGACTGGATTAGCTCACACATAAGTTCCAACCACAAAAAAGGAGATCGAAAAACTGGTGGAAACTATGGAGGAATGGGTGTGACTAGTTCTTTGGGAAAATTGTATGGCCGTATTTTAAAAAGAAGAATTGTAATGGAATTTTCAGACATAGAAGAGCAGAATGGCTTTCGTGCGGGACGTTCATGCATGGATGGCACTTTCACATTACAACCCTCAGAGTGTTCAAGATATACCTACATTCAGGAGGCCTTGAAGAACTGGAGAAATAAGTGCTCAGCAGGGGGCCGGATCTCGGTCCAGGAAATAGAGCTCCCCGAGAGAACAAATTTTTCGTCTTCATCATTCTCGTTTACTTTTCGATTACGTTGATAAGAACATTCGTTTTATTGGGGTGCTCCACTCCCTTAGAGGAGAATCCAGCCCCAGGACGTCTATTCTCGAAACCAGGGAACAGCACTCTCACGAGAACGATTGCTCAGTCTTTGTCAGTGTTATGGAAATATAAAGATGGACGACTAAGACAGAACCTTGGATCTCATGAGAACGCTGCTCCTCTGTTTCGAGAATAAGGGCCCTGGTATTATGGGAATAAAAGTGGTAGAATACATCACTTGCCCACACTATTCTTTGCAAACGATTGGGTAGTAGTAGGCTGTGAAGAGGACCTGGATTACATGTATAGAAAACTCAAGGATGAATACGAACAGTGGTGTGAATGAAAATAAACCAAAGTAAGACAAAATATAAATTCTATTATAGGAGAAGATAATGAAGACCCTTGTGACAAAATTGAGATGTTATGATTTATGATTGTTATGTGAGAATTGATATTTTGGTAGCGTGAATAATTCTGTCACACTTAAATTTCGTGGAAAATTATGCTGAAAAGTGAATCTGATCTGAAGCAGTGAATAATAATTTTCTGAACCGGAGGCAATCTAAACGAAATCTTCTTTCTTCGCTTCTTGGAGTGGTTATTGAAAGGTGTTTGGCTAGTTGCACCAAAATTCTCTTAATCCAAGTTTAATAAACCTGAGATTCAAAAATAAACATTGCACGACATACAACTAAGCTCAGTTTAATTAAACTAGTAGTAATTTTTTCGTTTTAGGTTGGCAAACATGTTGAAAACTTGTCAAATGTGAAGGCAAAAATAGAATATAACCCAGAAAGCGAATTATTTTTTGTAAGCTTTTCCGAATCGAAGCATTGGTCCCTGTGTATTTTGTAGTTTTTTTCTGCTTATTCGCTTCATTTGACAAAATGGATTCACTAATAGCATAAGTGAGAAAGAGATCAGCCAATTTTACCAACAACGATAAATCTCTCCTACTAATTAATCTTGTGGCAAAATACAAAACTATTAATAAA